TGCGTTAATGAACTTATATGAATTGAGATGGCAAGTGATTGCTCACGGGTGTGTGTATGATGAGCTTTTTCAGTTATTTGATGGCTTTGGAATGACTCTTGGCACGTTCAAGGATAAACGTATGTTTAAGCGGGAAAAATGTAATAACCCGACCAGTCGTTTTGAGCTTTAGTATTTCGTTGGGCGATTTGAGGCCTTGAGTCGCTTCATATGATGTATTATGACTTGTGTATATGGTTGGTTATGATGTTCGCAAGGTTAGAGATTGATTTGATAGAATGATTTTCAATTTGGAAGCTTCAAGTTGGAAGAGTTAACTGAGATTTGACTTTTGAGTAAACGACCTCGGAATTGAGGTTTGATAGTTTAAATAGGTTCGTATGATACTTTTGGACATGGGAATATGTTCGGATTTAAATTCGGATGATCCTAGAGGATTTTGGCTTTATTTGTCGATAGTTGGCAATTCATATATTCATTTTGTCATTTGAAACTTGTGCGTGAAGTTTGGTTGGATTTCGGATTGGTTAGGGTTAAATCAGATGTTTTATTTGAAGTTGAAAGTTGATGAACATAAGAAATTGATCTTGGCCGATGATTCATGGTTTTGATGTTATTCATGGTATTTTGAGCCCTCAGATAAGTTTATATTAGGTATTTGGACTTGCTGGTATGATTGGATGGGGTCATGGTTGGCTCGGGTGTTATTCGAGGTTATTTCAGACCCTTTCTCTCATGTTTGGATTGCTGATTTTTGTTGGTGTTTGGTAAGCATCGCGTTTGCGAAGAGTAAGTTAGGTTGGATGGAATTGTTTATCGTCTTTGCGAATGTTCTGCCCGTTTGTGAGGGGTCGGGTGTGAAGGTCCTCGCGTTCGCGAGTCCTGGGTCGCATTTTCGTAGTGAATTTGGGAGGTGGAGCTTTGTTCTTCATGTTCGCATTGTGTGTTCGCGTTTGCGGTCTGTGGGCAAGCTGGTCATCGCATTCGCGTCAGTTACCTCGCGTTCAAGAAGAAGATTTTTGGGTTGAGGCAGCGTTGTGCTTCGCGAACGCGAGGCTTATGTCGCGTTTGCGAAGGGTACATCTGTGCAGTGTATTATAAGTTGTCATTTTAGTACTTTGAGCTCATTTTATCATATTTTGAGATTTAGAGCTCGGATTGAGGGGATTTTCACCCACTTCGATTGAGTAAGTATTTTTTACTCGGATTTTATTATTATCTATGATTCTATCTTTGATTTTAACATTTGACTTATGAATCTAAGGAATAAAATTTGGGGTTTTTGCCTACACTTTAAGAGAGATTATTTTGGGGTTTTGACCATCAATTTGGACCCGAATTTTGAAAATTATTGTATATTTTGACTCGACAGGTTATGGGTCATCGAATTTTAGTACTGCTTTCTGATTTCGGGCACTCGGGTCCTGGGTTAATTTTTGGAAATTCTTCAAAGATTGAAGCTTTATGGATTGGGATCGCTTCCTATTGCATTGTTTGACTTTCTTGGATGATGTTTGGCTTGGATTCGCATGATTGGAGGGCTAGAGTATTGTTTTGACGTGATTTGTGGTTGAAGCTAGCCGGGGAAGACGTAAGTCTCTTGAGTATCCTTGTTAAGAGGGAAACCCGTAGGATTTGACTTGGTTATTATGTATTTAAGGTATTGGGGGTGGTGTATATACATGAAGACGAATGTATATGCACATACCAAGTTTACATCATGATCGTGGCGTAGAAATTAGAATATTTCATTCTTCGTTTGATTATGTTCATGTTTGATTCATGGTTTATTTAGCTTGTGTGACTCCGTCTACGGACGTTAACTGCTGCCGTCTCCGGACGTTAATTGCTATGATACTGGATGCTTAAATTTATTCAATTGTCTTGGTTCTCCGCGATTGGTAAAGTTTCATTACCTTGTGCTTGTGTTTTGTTTTCTTAAGTTTCCTAAAACGGTTTGAACTCTCCTCCTTTCCTTTTATTTTAAAGATGAATATAGAGGTGTGCATATAGTGATATGTATTATAGAAATTCTATTAGTTTGCACTTGATTAGACATCCTGCCAAAAATGATTGACAGTTTGTATACTTAGATATAAGTCCTTATGTTGTTGTCAGTTTCAAATTGCACCTTAGGGCATTTTCAATCTATCTATGTAGAAATCATGAAAAGATATTCATTCTTATAAGAGCATGTCTTTAGATTGTATTACAACTACATATCATTGAAGTAAAAGAGACTTTAGACTCAAATGAATGTTAAGCCTGCTTCTGTGATGTTATTTGCGTTCATGACTTGTGTGTTGTAAGTACAATATCCTTAAGAATAAAATCCGAAGTGATTGGAATTTGAATACTTTTATCATGACTAACTTTTATAATCTAAGTCGATGGTTCATAGTTTAAAATGTTTGTGTATATTTAAAAATTACTGTAGCTTAGATTATAGATTATTTTCTTCTTTATGCAATAAAAGTCATAGCTACGACCGGACTCATGTTTTTAGATTTCTTTAAATTTTGTATCGTAGAAATCTTGTTTAGTCTTCTTTGTGTGTTATATGCATCTCCTTGAACACAAGGTCATACATTCATTTGCAAGGTACCCCTCTGCGATAAAGCCTTCTGGATAAGCCCTATTACCAATACGAGATTTTAAAAAATAGGGCAAAGGTCCAAATATGCCCTTGTACTATAGTAAAGTGAGCACATTTGTCATTCGTTAATACTTTAGCTCAAATATGTCCTTACCGTCACATAGTTAGTCCATATATGCCCTTAGAGTTACACCGTTGGCCCATATATGCCCTTTTCGAAATGGAATCCACCTACACTAATTATCTCTTTCGTTAATTGTATTAAAGTGTATTACAAACACTATTTTCTTTTTATTAGTACTTTTTTTTCTTTACCTTTCTCTTTTCTTTCTTCTTTTTTCTTTTCTTCTCTTTTTTTTTCCTTTTTCTTTCTTCCTCCATTACTGATGTCTTCTCCATTTTCATCACCAATTTTACTTAACAAAACTCATGAATTTCAATTACTAAGAAAATTCTCCCATAAAGTAATCGAGTTCAATTTCACTGGCCCTCTAAATAAATGAAATTAAATTATTCCAAAAATTATGGTTTAAACTTTAAAATAATAAAAACATCTCAACCTTTAATAATACTCAAAAGACTAAAATATTTAAATTGTTTCCAGAAAGATAATTTAATGATTAAAAGCCTAGAGTTCAAGTTGTAGTTTATAAATTTGAGTTGTTAGTCTTTTTTCAGCTGGACATTTTCTATTTTTTTTTATTAACTATGTAAATTAGGGGTGTACATGGAATGGGTTGGTTCGAGTTTTATCAAAATCAAACCAAACCAATTATATCGGTTTGGATTGTTTGGTTTTGTTGGATTTTCAAATTTTTTGTTACATAAATATTATTTCAATCTTACTTTGTTAAATATTTTAGAACTAAATATATGTTCAGTAAGAATTAAAAAATTAAAAAATATATGATCTATAAAAATATTCTTATGGGAGAATTTTCTTAATAATTAGAATTTATGAGTTTTGTCAAGTGAAATTGGTGATGAAAATGGAGAAGACTTCAGTAATGGAGGAAATCGGATAAGGGAGAAAGAAAAAGGAAAAAAAAGAGAAGAAAATAAAGGTAAAGAAAGAAAAGTACTAATAAAAAGGAAATAGTGTTTGTAATACACTTTAATACAATTAACGAAAGAGTTAATTAGTTTGGGTGGATTCCGTTTCGAAAAGGGAATATATGGGCCAACTGTGTAACTCTAAGGGCATATATGGACCAACTATGTGACGGTAAGGGCATATTTGAGCTAAAGTATTAATGAAGGGCAAATGCACTCAATTTCGTATAGTATAAGGGCATATTTGGAAATTTTTCGTAAAAAATATAACCATCGCTGTATAGGATACATTCACCAATATTGAATAGGTCCAGCAAGCTTAGCTTCATTAGCCAAATGAATAGGCAAGTGCACCATAACATCAAAAAATGGAGGGAAGACTTTTTCTAACTTGCAAAAAGAGTTATAGGAATTTGAGCTTCAATTATTTCCAAGTCATCCATCCTTAACACCTTAGCTCCAAGCATATTGAAAAATAAAGATAACTCAATAAGTGGTTCACATACATCTTTGGACAACATACCACGTAGTGCAAGAGGGAGTGAATGCTGCAGAAGAACATGGCAATTATGACTCTTTAAGACAGAAATTTTGTGTTCTTTCAAGTTCACACATTGAGAAATATTAGATGAAAATCCATCTGGAATCTTTAAATTCTTTAAAAAAAAGGCATAAGTTGTGCTTTTCTTGGGGAGATAATGTATAACTTGCAGTTGGAACTTCGTACTTTTCTCCCTTTTTGATGGGGTGCAATTCCGCCCTAATGTTCATTTCTTGCAAATCTAGCCGGGCTTTAATGGTATCCTTGACCGGGCTTTAATGGTGTCCTTGGTCTTTCCTTTGGCATTCATGATCGTCCCCAAAATATTATCACATATATTTTTTTCGATATGTATAACGTCCAAATTATCCCGCAACAACAAAGATTTTCAATAGCGAAGTTCAAAAAAAATACTCCTCTTATTCCAGTTATCCTTTCGATTCTCATGCGATATTTTGATCTTTTTCTTTGGATCCTTTGTTAGATGTATCCCTTCAAGATCCTACACTTGATTAAGTATCTCAATACCTGAACGTATTTTTGGTGGGAGCCGTCTCTCTTTTGTGCCATCAAATGACTCCTTATCATTCCTCCATCGATGATTAAGAGGAAGATATCGTCGGTGACCCATAAAATATTGTTTCTTACTATTAGTCAATCTAATTGAGAAAGTATCTTTATTGCAACATGGGCATGCCAATTTTTCTTTTGTACTCCATCCAGATAAATTTTAATATGCTAGAAAGTCATTAATGATCCATAACAAAGAAGCATGCAACTTAAAATTTTGTCTAGTAGATGCATCAAAGGTGTCAACACTAATTTCCCATAACTCATTTAGTTCCTCTATCAAAGGTTGAAGATATATGTCAATTGCATCTCCTGGACTATCTGGACCAGGAATAAGCATTGACATAATAAAATTTTCTTGTTTCATACACAACCAAGGTGGTAAATTATAAGGAATAAGTACCACCGGCCAAATGCTATATGAGGTTTTTGTATTGCGAAATGGCTGAAATTCATCACTAGCAAGTCCAAGTCGAACATTACAAGGCTTGGCCGCAAATGAGGGATGAAGTTTATCAAATGATTTCCAAGCCATTGAATCAGCTGGGTGCCTCATTATTCCATCATCAACTCTTTTATCATGATGCCATGTCATTAGAGAAGATGTTTTTGTAGACATAAACAACCTTTGAAGTCTAGGCTTTAATGGAAAATAGCGCAAAGTCTTTGCTGCTATTTTTTTGCCTTTTTTATTCTTTGCTTCCCCGCTATGTTAATTTATTTTCCATCTAGATGCACCACAAACTTTACAAGAATCAAGTAAATTATCCTCCTTCCAGTATAACATGCAATCATTTATACAAGCATTAATCTTGAAGTAGGAAAGCCCAAGATTCCAAATTTCCTTCTTTGCCTCATAATATGAATTTGGCAAATCCGCTCCATCGGGCAACAACTCATCCTTTAACATTTTTAATAGCATTGTAAATGACTCATTGTTCCAGCGACCCATACTTTTTATGTGAAGCAATTTAATCAAAGTGGAAAGTTTTGAAAATTTTGAGCTTTGGTACAGTGGCTTCTCAAAATCCCTCAATAGACTGTAAAATCTTTTGGCTTCAACATTCGGTTCAACATTCGGTTCCTCTTAAAGTAAATCATCACAACCAACGTCTGCAGGGCTTATATCATGATTAGGATATAGATCTCTCAAAATTTCTTCTATTTCATCCTCTCTCGTATTCTTCTGCTTCATCATCATCTTCAAGTTCCGACTGTGGCTCACCTAAAATTTCTCCATGGTGATACCAAAAAGTATAATTTTTTATTATTCCATATACTTTCAAATGTGACTCGACTGTCTCGTGTGTTCCTAATGTTGTGTTACAACATTTGACACATAGACATCGTATTTCATACAATTCTCCTGTTCTTCTAAAAGCATAATCTAAAAACTTCTGCACCCCAATTAAATAGGCTTCATCGAGTCGATTGTCAATAAGCTGCATCCATTGCTTACTTGGTGCCATAACCTTAGAGAGTATATAAACATTAGATGAAAAAAATCATTTAGAATAACAAAATTACTTAAATGCACACAACCTTTTATTAACTTGCAAACTCTTTTAGTGATCAATACTTCCTAAGATATCATAAAATGAGATAAACTATAAATTGATAGTCAAAATAGATAATATACAATTGCTCGCACAATAAATACATGATGTGTCTTATATAAATTATTCCTATTCAATTAAGGCATATTCCATCATAATTATTATGACTAGCCATGGCACAGGTACATGTACTATTGTGATATTTTGACGGAGTTGACAAAAAAACAGAAACAAAGACAATGGAAGGAGATTTAGTAAAAACTTTTCAGCTTTTTCGCTATTATCAACCTCATGGTAGGAGCACATAACTCTTTCTCACTATATTATATTCCTAACAACAATAGTTTAAAGACTAACAATACAAAATTCAAATACATGCACAACATAAATGAGTTTAAAATTAATTTGAATAAATCAGATTTTATTTTTAACTTTTGCATATAATGGATTACATTAGAGATGATTTATGCAATTTGCATGTAGAAACCTATTGATTATGCTCTTAATTAGAATTCCACTGAACTATCGATCAAACTTAAACTGGGCGATATAAAGAATCATAAAGCTCGTAATTCTTTTTACCTATTTTAGTACCAGCATAAACTATTATCATCAGGAAAGAAAAATAAATTTGTAAGAAACTATATATAACAAGCACATTCTCCATTCTCCTAAAAAGCAAATGTATACAGAGAATAAGACTTTTCAAAAGCAGATAATATAAGACATTATGTAACTTTGTAAACTAAATCAAATCCTATGGATGATGCCATATCAAATCCTATAGAATAAGAATAAAAACATAATATTATTGATAGTTTATGCAGATTTTCTTTTACAGCTAGGGTGATATTGAATAAACAGAGTGACAGTCAAAGGAATTCTATAAAATTCTTCCATCGGGAGTTTTTTTGAGATGTTTTTGCTTATTAGAGTACCAAAACAAGATTAAATTCACATCACCTTGTATTCCTTATCTAAAGTATAATTGTGAAATACATTAACAAAGATAATTCATATCACTATTTCTTCCTCATCAAAAGATTTTTTGGAAATATCAAAGTAGATTTACTAAAATCAATAAGTTGGTTATACAATTCAAAAAATTCTAGAGTGAAGGAACTAAATTAGAACACATAATATGTAAAAGTTTCAATCAATTCATCACCACATAAGAAAATCCACAACAAACAAAATCCCACAATGTACCCACGACATTTTTCTTAGTCCTTCAAGTTCCCAAAAGTCTTGTTTAATGTAACCCTAATAGACAAAATCCCACAATAAATCCAAATATACTTCACTTTTAGCACACAATAACAATTATTATTGCAAAAAAAAAAAAAATCCAATGGCAGAACCTCGGTTCTTGCCTTCCAAGCACCGACATCAAATCCGACATCCTCACTTTTAGCCCCACACAACAAAAATTAGTATTCTAAATAAGGAAAAACTCAATCAAAGAACCTTAGGTCAAAAAGAGAGAAAGAAATAAAGAAGCAGACGGGAAAAAAATTCTGATTTTCATCAGGAAAAAAACCGAAACAGAACATTAAAAGTGAAGAAACTTACTCTTGATGTAGCCGAATAATGCCCAGTGATTGACAAGAGTATTGTTTAGCCACACAATGCTTGATATTGAGCGATGAGTTTTTTAGGAGTTTAGGAATTTTAGGGGTTTTGAGAGAGAGAGAGAGAGAGAGAGAGAGGGAGAGAGAGGAAATGTTGGGAAGCTAGGCTAAGTAAAACGTTTTCACTTATGAGAGAGTTGGAAAAACGTCTAGGAGCGCGAAGTGAAAATTAAAATTTTTGCTTATTTTTTATCGCGCCTCTGTAGTCTCCCGCTAAATGGGATTTTTAGAGACCCGCTAAATAACTTTTTTCAGACCAGATTAAATTCCTTCGCTTATTTAGGAAAAATACATCGCGATTTATTGACCGAAAATTATCTAGTCCCTATAAATACACTTTTAGGGACCAGATTTTAAACTCGTCGCTAAAACTTGGTCCCTAATAACCCTTTTTCTTGTAGTGATCCTTGATCGTTATTCATTCCCTAATTTAGTTTGTGCTTCACGAATGGCAAATAAGTGATTTGTTTGTTTAATATATGTTAGGAGGTATGATTCAAAGTATTAGAAACTATGATTTTATAAATGTTAGTTACACTTGACCATTGGAGGCCATATTACGTCTAAATATTAAATTAGAAAGCATACATATAAGGAAAATTCTTCTTTTGTTATGACAAGTTTTACACAAGTTTGAGGTATGCGTGGATGTGCATTCTATGGGATTTTCTGAAAAGTAAATAAAAATAGAAATGTCTGCATTATTTGGGAATTTGTTTATGCCTCAAATACTATACCTAACATTATGTGTATTTCTCGTGTTTGGATGCTATGCAAAGTGTTTGAATTTTAGATTTGTTAACAAATTAAAGAATGTGAGTCGTGTTTATATATCATCATTATTCCGCTCTCCTTTTGTCTTCTTGCCTTTCCTTTTTCCTGTTTCGCATGAACATTGGAGCATTTGTAATGTCTCAATTGATGTTGGATTTCAACCTTGGCAAGTGATCTAGTACGACATACTATCAAACAAAGCCGTCACCCCAAGTGGGGCTAGGTACGTCAAGGGACATGATGACAATGACAGGCTAATAGCTGACTTCTTGTATGAAACGCACATATAGTTTATCAAAAATAAAACAACTAGTTACTCCCTCATTTTCGAACTTTATATGTCACTCACTTGAATATTTCAAAAGAAATTAACTTAGACAACTTTTATTATTTTGCTAAAGTTCGACATAGTGTTACAATTCATACAATTCAAACCGCAAAATATTTTTTGAGCTTCACACAACTTTTAAATGATACATTTTACTTAATACTCTCTTACACAGTTTTACTAGAATTTTCTTGTTTTAAGATGTTTAAGAAAGTCGATCATATAAAAGGAAATAAAGGGAAGTAACATCGCATTGGGTCGCCTATATCTGATCCCACATTATTTTAACCTTCAACATGAAATTTATGTATTGTTAATTTATTCATTTATCTTAATCCTTTACTCTAAATTTTGCCACTAAAGTTAAGGTGACATATATATTTGCTAAGAATAACCTGAACCCTTACCTAGATTCTCACTGATTTAGCAGACTATTAAGATATTAATCCATATATCACTTATAGGTACCCTAATATATCTTAGGTGGTGGCTCTTCACTTTTATTAACCTCAAAAGAACCATAAGTTGTATTTTGCTTAAACTCGTGCAAAATAGGGTGCAACAATAAGTCATTGAATTTTGGTATTGCTTTCGAATTTCGGGCACGCACGCCCGACGTTGCTTTTTGAAACTTCTTCAAAGATCGAAACTTTATGGATTGAGATCGCTTCCTATAGCATTGTTTGACTTCCTTGGATGATTTTTGGCTTGGATTCATATGATTGGAGGGCTAGATCGTGGTTTTGACGCAGTTTGTTGTTGAAGCTAGCCCGAGAAGAGGTAAGTCTCTTGGCTAACCTTGTTAAGAGAGAAATCCCTAGGATTTGACTTGAATAGTATGTGTTTAAGATATGGGTGATGTATATACGTGGTGGCTGCTATTATGATATAACTCTGCTAATTAAAGGTAATTGGACTCTATTCTATTGATTGTGAGTTGGCTTGATTAGCAAGTACAGCTAGGCGCCATCATGGTATGAGGTAGAATTTTGGGTCGTGACAAATACACTTTAGAATTCTTTTTGTAGCTTCCAAGTGAGGCTTTCTTGGTAATTGCACATAATGACATGACCGGTCATTTTGTATATTTGAGTCTTGTTTCCCTATTTGATATTTTTCGTATGTTTGTTCGTTGTCTTGTGACTTGCGGGCTTGGTTGGTGGGTTTTGGAAAAGTTTGTGAGTGATTCGGGAGACTTAGTCTCATTTTGGAAGCGTAAGTTGCTAGCATTGATCAAGGTTTGAATTTTGAACAAACGACCTCGGAATCGAGAATTGATGGTTCCAGAAGGTTTTTATGGTTATTTTGGACTTAGACGTATATTCGTAATTTGATCCGAAGGTTCTTAGAAGATTTTGGCTCTATTTGTCAAAAGTTGGCAGTTCGAAGGTTTGAAGAGTTCATAGGTTTGACCGAGAGTTGACTTTGAGGTTATCGGAGTTCGATTAGTGTTTCGGGACTTTGAGTATTCACTTAGTTGATTAGAACTTATTTGTAGAGTTTTATTGGAATCCAATATGTTAAGGCATGGTTCGGACGTGTTTGCCGAAGTTAGAAAATTAATTTTGATCGTCGATTCTTTGTTTTAATATTATTTGTGGTATTTTGAGCATATGGATCATTTTGGATTGGGTATATAGACATGTTTCGCATGATTGGATGGGGTCCAAGGGGCTCGGATGTGTTTCGGGGTAGTTTCAGATCATTTCCTCAAGGTTTGGAGTTGCTTATTTTCTGATGCATGGTAATGCTTTGCGATCGTAGAGAAGGGGAGATGGCATGCAAGATTTTACTCTTCGCATTCGCGTGATTGGGGTCGTGTTAGCGGAGGTTTGGAAGTTGGAGCATCGTGTTTGTGTGCTTTGGGTCACATTCGCGATAGACGGGAGTTAGGCGGGAGTATTGCCTTTGCGTTCGCGTAGATGGTCCCGCATTTGCATAGAGGCGTGGCCTGGGGGGGTTAGACTTCGTGTTTTTAAGGAGGACAGCGCACTCACGAAAGGTACTTCGCGTCTGCGAAGTGGTGCAGCAGCTTGAGGAGATTTTTGCCTTCGTGATCATGAAGGGTATGTCGCGATCGCGATTCATATCGTTGGGAAAACTATTTTAAGTCGGGATTTTTCTCATTCTTTCATATTTTGTACCCTAGACTTCGAGAGGTAGAGATTTTGAAGAGAAAATTCACCACTACATTGAAGATAAGGAATTTTCACTTGGATTTGGCTTAATATCTTGATTCCCCGTTGAATTCTATACCTAAAACATGGAATTTCAATGCAAAAATTGGGATGTTCTCTAACACTTGAGAGGGTATATTTTAGGGATTTGAGGACCGATTTAGACTTGATTTTGAAATCTAATCACATATTTGGATTCATGGAGTATGGATAGTTGGAATCTACCCATTGACTCGGGTTTTAACCATGTGAGCCCGGGTTGTCTTTTGCGGATTTGATTAAAGATTGGGGCTTTATTGTTTGGAGTTGATTCCTATGGCTTTGTTTGACACTATTGAGTTATTTTTACTAAATTTGAGTCGTTTGGAGGTTGATTTGAGAGTGAAGTCTATTTTTGAAGGTTAAAACTATTACCAGGTGGAGGTAAGTCTCTTTTATATCTTTGTAAGAGAGAATTCTCCTCATAGGTGATCTTTTAGCTACTTGTTGCTCGATTTAGGAGCCACGTATATGCGAGATAACGATCGTATATGCGTAGCTATGTTTTGACAATACCCGGTATTGTTGACTTGAATTATGCTTTGTTTAAGATGTATGAAGTCAATATTCATATTCCGATTGATTCTATGACTACGAGATAATTTACAAATATAATTTAGGAGCATGCTTAATGTTATGATTTGTTGATTTGGGCATAAAGGATTATTTTGCCATGTTGAGCTTTATTATTTGTCCCGATCCAAAATTCACCTACTCGTGATGACACCTAACCCAAACTGCTAGGTAAGCCAAAAAATACTCAACACAATTCTAATGAAAATAATAATAAATCAATAATAAAATAACTGAATTTCCATACAATAACCGAGGGATTGATGGCACAAGTCATGAGCCACTAATATTTGGATTTACAAAGATGGTATGCAATAAATACAACATCCGTTTGGAATATGCATAAACAGAGTACGAATCTAAAATTACCAAGGACAAGTGGTAGCTATATTCGAAAAGTAGGTACATCTTTAATTTCAACTCCCGTCTTCCACAGTATCTCAGCTCCAAAATCTACACACTAGGTGCGAAAGTGTAGTATGAGTACAACCGACCACATGTATCCAGCAAGTATCATAGCTAACCTTAGCGAGGTAATGGTGGCAAGAGTTATAAATGATACTCGCTAATAACCTGTTCAATTCATATATCTCACAAATACACAACAAAAAAGTTATCAAGTCATAAATCACAGATAAGCCTCCTCGGTGCCCAAAGATAACGTAACATGCTCTTTTTCATTTAACAATACAGCACATAGAGAAGATATGCGTCCAATATCATTAAATCATCCAACTTGCATATAGAGAAGATATGTGTGATTAAACAAGTCAAGTCACACGAATTCACATATGGAGAAGATATGTACCGTGTCTCATCTCATCAAGTAAGGTGACATATAAAGAAGATATGCATAAAGGCATGTATACATTCCGGAACTAGCAAATAGATAAGAGATGCAACAAAAATCATCTATACATCCAAGGATATTGCAAGTAGAGAAGAAATGCAATAACCAAATATCAATCTATTGCTATGTGCAACCCGATCCAGATTTAAATCACAATACGGCTCTAAGGCCCACATCGCAAAATACAATAACCGAACCATACCACTGATCAACTTGTCACGACCCAAAATCTAGCCTGTCGCGATGGCAATTAACCCAACCCGCTTGGTAAGCCAAATAACAATAAACACAATATAATGATAGAGATAAAACTCAAAAGTGAAATAACTAAATTTTTATACAACTCCCCAAGGACTGGCAGTACAAGTCATGGG